TCTTTGTTCAGTACAACCGTCGATCGTCCTTTATCGATTGGGAGTATGACAATGCTTTTGTCAGCCTTTAACGTCCAGAGTGCCCCGTCTTCTGCTTTTGAAAGTCTCTTGCGTTTCTTGTGGGACATGAGTCTGGAGGATGTTCGCTTTCGTAGCATGCTACATAAGTAGTCATATTTTACCGAGTGCGGTTCCTACAGGAGGTTGGAAAGAAGCCGACATCCTGGCAAGTCCGAAATATTATTGGATTATGTCGCATGATAATCAGTATTACAGTCCATCCTAAATAATCCGTCCTCATCGAAGACGCATTTCAGAATTTCGGCCAGCATTTCGTGAGATCGGTCACTCACTGTAATCGGAAACGTACGTTCGCCGAACTCGACCTCTTTAACCTCAGGATAATACACTTCTTGTGACAGCCTGACAGCCTATCGTTTTAGACTGAGTTATCTTCAACATGTGTCATATTTGTGTTCTAAAGGGTCCTGAAGTACATGAATGCAAGTATACCGATCCGCCAACATATTAAAAATACAAATTTGCCATATTTATAGCCGAGACTTCCTACAACCGAAGCGGTCATGGTAAAGGGAAAAAAATCATGTCCGAACGCCGCCTTACGATAAAGAAATTGTAATATCTGTTTAAATTTTGCCGACTTCCCTAAAAGTTTCAAACGCTGACTGAAAGAATTTCTTAGGCAGAGGCGAAAAATCAGTCATTTTTCTGGTTGAAAAGAAAAATCTGTCAGGTTTGGTCATGCAGCTCCACTGGCGGTAGGAAAAACCTAGGCATCTGCAGTGCGGGAATGGTGGTGGTAAGGATTTTGTGGGTAGGGCCTTAGGTCAGGCCAAGGGAAAGGTGGAAATTCAGAAAAGCAAAAGGAGTCGTATTCGAGCGGATGAAAGTAGTTTAAAAAAGTTGAAAGTTAAATGCGCAATACAAAAACTGAAAGGTGCGTGTAGAACAGTTTGTGAATTTTGCTGGGGTGCACGGTACAAGGAAAAATGGAACGGGAAAACTGTGGGCCAATAGGAGGTGGGAACGCATAGCCAAGTTCGCTCCGAAAAATGTTCAAAGAAAGTGATGGGTGATCGAGACGAGTAGGCAGAACAAGTCGAATAAATGGTCACGGGAAGCAGTAACCCAATTAAAGTAACGTAAGTATGTCGTGGAATTTTTTATTCAAAAGAGGGATAGCCAAAATAAGTTGTAGCCCATGAAACTGTGAAGTCGTTGAACGGGACTAAGAGTGCTATTTGATTGCGCAGTTTCCAGGGTTTTAAAAGCGGCTGCATGCAATCCTGATGAATAAATATTTTTAATTATTTCGGTTGTAGGCCTCAACGAGCAAACCGCATAGAAGGGAAGGGGGGGGGGGCTGTTGGACAAACCGACGGAGGTTACCAAAGTGGTGGAAGCAATCAGTTCGCCCCACTGTGTTCAGCATTTGCAAGAATCAGGACTGCTCATATCGAGGGTAATATGCCAATGCCTCAGACCGATGACACTACAAGTATTACGACAGCATACCCAAGTAGACATGGTTTAGATGCGGTCGATAGAGAACAAATATTATTAAGCTGCGACTGTGGGCATATTTTGCAGGTTCTTGAATGAGCGCAGCAGAAAAACGAAGCATGACCTGAGCTTGTCCCACACCAAGAAAGTTTGGAATGGATTCATCTGAACTATTTGGATTGCGATAAAGGAACTCTTTTACCCTAGACCTCCTATTTTCAAAATAGACCGAGATACCGATTTTAACTGGAACGGTGTTTGACAAAAGAGGGCTGACATTAACGACGGTAATGAAAACCCGCCTCACTTTGGTGGAGGGGCGCGCACCGATCGTTTCTACGGAACTCACTCGTCCAGCTGTACCTTAGGACTCTCTATCTCGAACCCAACCAGCAGCCGCACAGCGTCACATGATATAGGCAGAATGGTATTACTGACAAAGAAAAGGGAGACTCGAATGGCCATTTCTGGCTTATTAGCCCGAGAGAGTGCCCTTAGGCACAACGAGACGATTGGGTTCCGTAGAAACGATCGGTGAGCGCCACTCTACCATTGTATATTCCCTATGGCAACCGACAACACAACGGGTCCGTGGCTGGGTGGTTAGAGGCGCTGCACTTCTAACTAACAGGTCGAGAGTTCGACCCCCAGGTGTTGCACATTTCGGGGTTGGGTATAACTGGCTGACGACAGCTAATAAGCCAGAAATGGCCATCCCAGTCTCCCTTGTCTTTGTCGGTAATACCATTCTGCCTGACTTTTCTCGAAGGAAATGGAGTCATTAGGTGTGCGACTTCCGTGGGCATAATCCGCGCCACAGCAGTGGAATGGTACAGCATTCGGCGGGGTGTGTGCTCGAAAGCCCTCCTGAACGCGGTAAAGAAAATTGCGGGAACTTTCCTAAGGCACGTAGCAGAATCGTATCCAGTTAATGACGGTCAACAAGCAGTGCCGCAAACGTCTCAGCAAACGGGCCGGTAAGTTGATCTATAACGCTGATAATGAATACTTAGGTGAATATGTAACAGAAAAGCAGCACATGGAAACGGATATCCTACGCCTTTCGGAAGCCCGGCGCGCACGGAACGCCCCGCTGAAGCCCTCGCTGGAGTGGGATTCGGGAAGGAGTAGAACAGTTAACGCACCCCTCGCAGGAGTAGGAATGAAGTGACCGCATTGTCAGATGGAAGTTAGGTCAGTGTGCATTCCGTTCTAATATTGCGTAATCTCGTCTACTCAAAAATAATCCAGTAGGCTGACCATATAATACTCGTCAAGTGCGGCTGCAAGACCAAGCCTTACCGAAAACTCTCTGAACAGGTCTTCCCTTCTGAATTGAATAATTCCGTTTTCGGCCTCTGATACAGCAACGTTTCGGGACTTTCTTTATTATATGCGGTCACGAACTCCGCACAACACTCCTGTAACATAAAGGCCGTCCATCGTACATTTACGAAAGTTTTACTGAGTTAACGGAAGGATCGGTCCTCAAAAAAGGACTTACTTTGGTTTATAAACTACTATTTATTAGATAAGATGTAATTTAGTTTACTGAAAACCCTCATATCAAAAAAACAAATTTATGATGACTGAATTAGTTAGGGCCTAACAGAACTGACATCCGTGAAGGAAAATATAAAACAATGGGAAAATACTGGAAAACAATAGCAAATACAATGTTTTAGTACTTTTTCGACTGCCCTTTTGTGTATA